TACAAGACAGTGATTTTGTAAGAGCTGCATCAATACATGGTATACTGTTGAAGTATATCAGTTTGAGGCATAAGAATAACCTACTATTAAAAGAATATGAAATATATAACAAAGGATAAAAACTTAGTCATGTTTCATGTTTCATTTTGTACATCTGCTACAGTCTATTCAAATTGATTAGTAGACATAAACAGATAGTTAATACCTAGCTGTAATTATTTCATTTTTTAATTTTTGCACGTGTAGTCAGGGCCTAATTTACTGGTTATTAACTTTATAAGGGCCACTGCTAAGGTATTACACCAAACTAATTCCCAGTTCTGTTTTTTGAACAGCAGAAATAGAAGAAGGTTCACTGATTCAGGAGTTTTAAATACAGGGGGAAGGAATAGTAGCCAAACTGGTATCATTTGATAAAAGAAAGTCCAGAACTGTTTCTGCTTCATGCTTAGTCATCTACCCTCACCAATAGCACAGACAGTAGATGCAGTATTTTGCTAGAGATACTGAGGATTATTTTACATTGCTCTCTCCTATTTTACACTAAATAGGATTAAAGTCCACGTTCTAGTATTAGAAAATAAGGTTATAAATAAAAGTGAATATATTTATTAAAAACAAATCATGTCACATCAGCCTAATTTCCTTTTACAATAAGCAACGGGCTCTGTAGATTCGGTATCTGCTTTTCTCCTATTTTGGCTTTGTCTGCTCTGTCATGTGGGATCTCATTACATTATTTAACAAGTTGATGCCTGTCAGTTGCCTGAACCTTTGTATCTAACCATGTGTGGTGCTAGTGACTTGTGAAATAAAAGGTAGACTCTCTTCCAGTGTTTTTGCCTATTTTAACACACATTTTTAAGAGGCATAACCTTTATTCCGTATAGATACTTGCTGCACATGTTTTATGCAGTATGTCAGTTTAGGTCTTGGCACTTTAAGGGTATTTTTCATCAATTTTTATACTCAAGAGCAAAACCTCAATCTGTAAGTAAAAGGATCCACATGTGTTTTCATTAAGAGTACCCTTTGAAAGATTTTTTGAATGTTTTAAGTAAGTGGGTTCTTATTTACACTTTCTACTTAATGGCAACGTATTTCCTAGTATGTAGAAACTGTATGAGGGCAACTACACAAATAGCTGGTACCAGGGGGTAAATTATCTAAGCATCTGCTTAGGTAGCCAGCAGCGCAGGGGCTGCTATGTTTTTCTTTACAATAAATGCCAGATTTGTGGTTTAATAGCAATAATACTTGCCCTTTTTTATATACAGTACTGATTTGTTAAATGATGACTGCACTGTAATTGTAAATATTAAATGAAACTCATATGCAGAAAAGTCAGTTGTGAGCATTTAGCTTGCAATTACAGTCATTACCTAAGTGCTGTTAGTAGAACAGAATACTTCCTTTTAATTATCATAAATCAGACTTCCCCATCACAGATTCTTTGTACATATGCATATTTTCACCTTAATGTTTTAAGAGTCTTAATTCAAAAGAATGCTTTGTGAAGGATATGGTTCTGCCAGTACTTTAAGAGTAAAACAGATATCTGCTGCAGTTAATGCTACCATTTCCTCATACTGCATCCTGTGATTATTATCAATATCATTAAAGAAAACCCTTGATCCCTTACACAGAAATAGTCATCTCCTTTTTTTCCTTATAGCACAGGCTATTCTTATCCAAGCACAAAATTCAAAACTACCAGAGTTAAACACAAATGCAAATAATGTGTTTAACATTGCAAGGTGGTCTATACCAGCTAAGTCAACCGAACAGGCTCTCTGCACAGTCAGTGCAGAGCTAGGTGCTTTAAAAGAGAGCTAAATTGCTGAGCAGGGGGATGCCATTACTAGTAAGAAACGTTAAACATGGAGCGTCTCTCAGCTCTCACTTTCCTCTATAGATTAGGTGCTTAATTTAGCTGAAAATTAGATGCCTTCAGCCGCTTGGATTCTAATTCTTACTACTCTTGCAGTCGTTACAGAACTGAGGCAGATTTCTTTTTCTTTGGCACAATGGCCTCGTGGTGAGAGGTCCCCTCAGAAAAATAGGGAAATACCCTTGCCCTGAAAGGCCTCATATCTGTCACTCATACATTCTGTGAATGTCTCAGTTGTTCATCCAACCAGACTGCATTCCCAAAGCAGGTGACATTTGGGAAGCCTGTGTCTTAGCCCTTTACATAGTCACAGACTTTTTTTTTTTTTTTGGGGGGGGGGGAGGAAATCAAAGTTTTATCCTTGAAGATAGTGTAAAAGTTAGATTTTGTATTCATTTGCCACAAAACAATAGGCTGCATATTGCCACTGCTTTCTCAGTAGTATTTTCCAGTGAAACAGTTTATTTTCTTCCCTCATCCTGTAACACTGCAATACAGTAGAAGGTACTTTAGAGCCAGTACTAACAGTGACTTGCGTTACAATATGAAACTTATGATAAAGTCGTTCTGCTAAATAACTTAAACACAGAATACAGATAACAGAAGAAGCACATGATCCACGAGGCAATGAGTGGAAGCACTCTGTGAGACCTGCTACCTGCAAAAAGAAAGAACTGAAATAGGAAGGTCAAGGGCAGTCTGGCTGCAGTGACCACGAGTGGCAGAGTTTACAGTTCTGGGAGAAGTGAGAAAGACAAGTAACAAAATCACAACGCTAGACCTTTGAGAGAGCAGACTGCAGCTTATTTAGGGATCTACTTGGGTCTAATGAGAGATAGCCCTGAGAGAAAGGCCCAGGGCAGCTGATTCCTGTTGAAGGATGACCTCTTCAAAGTACAGCACCCCACCGGAACACACAAAGCCAAGCAAGCACGGCAAGAGGCCAGCAAAGGTGGAAGGGAAACCCTTACTGAGGTCAGACACAGAAAAGAAAGAACATAAGGACATGGGGATGAGAAAGGCAACAAAAAGGCCTTCTGTAAGTACAGCAGCAAAAGGAAGACTGAGGAAAGAAAAAAATCTCAGCTCACTCTTCAGTGGGGCAGGGAACCTAGTGACAAAGGATACGGAAAAGATGGAAGCACCCGGGTTTTTAATAGCTAAGGTTTGCTTTCTGGCTGCCCATTTCCCAAAGTCTACTAACAGAGTCTGTGGAAATGTAGTATTACCCTCTGCAGGAGCAGGTGCAGTTAGGCAGTGTTCAACCCAGTGGACATTGAAAAGCCACAGGATGAGACAGGGTGCAGCTGAGGTTGCCGAAGGGAAGCTAGTTGATGCCCTTGCAAGCCCACTGCCCATAAGATGGGAAAGGTAACGGCAATCACAGGAGGTTCCTGATAACTGGAAAAAAGCAAATCTTACACCAATCTTCAAGAAGGACAAAGAGGAAGATCGAGGGAACTAACTGACCAGCCTGACATCAGTCCCCGTGAAGGTTAGAGCAAATCCTTCCTGAAGCTGCATAGGGGCACACAAAGGAAAAGAAGGTGATTGAGAACAATCCCCATGGGTTTACCAAGGGGAAATCATGTCTGATCAACCTGATTGTCTTCTACGATGATATGACTGACTGTGTGGATACAGGAAAAGCAGTGGAAAAGGTACCAACTCAGCAGGGAACAGTCAATGCAGTAGAGGACAGGGACCTTGGCAGGCTGGAGAAACAGACTGATAGAAACCTCCCAAATTTCAACAAAGGTAAATGCAAAGTCCTTCATCTGGGTGGGAATAACCCGATGCAACAATACAGGCTGGGGGCCAGCTAGTTAGAAAATAGCTTTACAGAGGAAGATCTGTGTGTCCTGAAGGATAAGCTGAGCATCAGTCAGCAGCGTGCCCTTGCAGCAAAAAAAGACCACCAAGTATATACCAGGCTGTATTAAAAAGAGTAGCAAGCAGATCCAGGAACATGATCCTTCAGCTCTATTCAGCATTTGTGAGACTGCATGTGGAGTACTATGTTCAGTTTCAGGCCCTTTAATACAAGGCAGGCAATGACATAGCGGAGCAGGTCCAATGGATGGCTGCCAGGGTCTTCAAGGGGCTGAAGCATGTGAGAGACAGAACTGGGTTTGTTCAGGCTTGAGAAGAGGCTAAGCAGCAGGGATAGGACAGATTCTGACAGAATACACTGCAATTTTGCACTGTTAGAAAACCCAATGTGAGGGGAAAAATCCTTAAGGATGAAAGATTAAGAGAGTCATACATTTGTACAAGAGTCTGTTAGGCACATCTATACGAAAAGCAAATTTGTAAAAGAACTTCTACCTCTTACTTTGGATTGAAAAAAGAATTTCAATGTCAGGCTGCCCTTAACCTCCAGTTTGCTGTCATTATTCCTAGCATTTTCTTTCTTCTAGGGCTATAATGCAGAAAATTGGATCTGAAATTAATATTTACTTTTTAGAGTCTGTTTTGCCCTTTCCTCCCTAGTAAACTTATTTAAGTCTGTCTGACACAAGATAACCCCAAAATATTTCATGGTTAGTCACTCTTCCTGCAGGGAAAAGCTTAAAGTCATTCATACTTTATTACCATTTCATTTAAGAGTGTTCCATTCTCTATTTAACTTCAGGTGATATCAGCAGCAGAATTTTCATGAAAAGTATCAATTTAATGTGAAGGCACAGTAACACTTTCAGACTGGACACCCTTTAGGAAATCCTTTAATATTCCTAACTGGTATTTTATGACATTATTACAAGTAGCTGTTGCTTCCTTAGAACCCTCTCTTCATTCAACAAGAAAGAAGCTACTGGGTTATAAACACAGCCATTGCGGTGGCCAAATTTGTATCTAGTAGATTTAGCCTAGTCCTCAAGCTGTTCTTGTCAGCCTTGTTTATTTGGAACCCTGCCACATTCTTTGGTCTAGCCACTGCCTTGCTCTATAGTCTGAGTGAATACCCTTAAAAGAAGCAGGGCACAATTAAGTTTCTCACAGAATTTTCTTCCTTCTGCTACTTGCCTTAGTGACATAGGATTTAAATGAGATCTTCTGATGCAGATAACTGACACAGCCAAAACCAGTTTATTGCTTTCGGTTTCTCTAACAGCTGAAAAAGGCAGCAAGAGTAAACTTTCATCATTTACATTAATATCATCCAAGACTTTACGTGAGAACATCAGAGGTTTCTTACTCTAAAAGTGAATTAGGTAGAAGTTTCCATTGTAACCAGTAATGAAGAAATGCAGCTGTTTTTCCATTAATGTGAAAACATTCCTGAAGAACACAGCTTCTGAATTTGAATAGAGAGACAAACACACTGCAGTTGTAGAAGTCTATTGACAGCTGAAAAAAAAAAGGTTAGCAATAAAAAGTAGACGTGTGAAAAACCATGAAGAAGGGAAGAGCAGTAACTGCTTTCCTGCTAGAGGGCTACATGTAACTCAGGGCTGCCATGCCAATTGGCTTCAGTAGCTTTCACAGGAACTCTGTTGCACTCCCTAGCAGAAGCATGTTCATACACTGTTCCCGATCATTTCCAGAGTCTTTGAAGCATGCAGCTTGTTCCCTGAATTTGGCCCATAATAAGAACTCTTGATTTTTTGAAAGACTGAGACGTGTACCGCCGCCTAGCACATAGAGGTAATATACATAAAAACAGAGCAAAACTGCTAGGACTAGTAATAGAGATCTTGGTTTTGAGAGCACATGAAGTAAATTAAGCATGAATCAATGTCTTGAATTTGGGCAGCATTTGACATGCTGCCCTCACCTGAGGGTGTGTTCTCAAAATCACTTCCTTTCTTTCTTTTTCCTGTCTGAAAGTTACAAAATTATGTAATACTTCTCATTAATTCTGTAGGCATCATTATATGCCAGAAAATTAAACTTAAGTATTTACAGTGCAAGGTCAAGCACTAAACAGCTTGACAGTATTGAGATTTATGTTGCTTGTGCTTGAGAACATGTACAGCAGTAGCCTTCCAGGAAGAACACTAAAAATGAAGACAAGGACAATGGCGGGAGGGGGAGAAGGAAAAGTCAGAAAAAAATTACACAGTGCCTTTAAGGTAAAGGACAGCGAAGCATGAACTTCTCTTAGCAGAGATGACTAATCCTTAATACAGATTCAAAAAAAAGAGGGGCAGGTGTGACTTGATCAGATGCGACAGAGATAACAGTTACTTGATTCAGTTTAAATGGTTTGAATGACATCACTCTTGCTTTACACAAGTAGAATAAAAACCACGTACTGTTAGTCTGGCTGAAACTTTAAGGTCTCTTCACCTTTTTTCAGGGTAAACCCAACACTTCGAAGGAAATTAAGCTATTTCCATAACTCATAATACAAAAAATGAAGAGGTTTCCACAACACTGCACTAGGTGCTTACATTGAGCTGTATTTCCTGTTAAAGAGATTTACTTTCTTACATTTTTACCCTACTTCAAGTGATTTAGGAAAAACTAGAGATAATTTGAGTCTCAAAGGATGGCCTAGCAACCATTATCTAGAGAAGGAGGCGGCTACCAAAAAAAAAGACATTGTCAGTCCAATTGGAAAAATCCCTCTTTCAGCTACCAATTTTACATTCTTAGCAAGTTATATCAATATTGCACAGAATTCTCTTGTCATTCATCCTCTACCCTGACAGGAAGATTCCTATTGTTTTCAAAAAAACAAAGCAGAGAGTAAAGGAAGAAAGGAAAAAACAAGCAGTCCATTTCTAATACGCGACATGCACAATGAGGTGTATATTTTCCTTTGAAAGGGACTACAGAGCTTCCACCAAAAAGTTTTCATTTAAACTTTAATTAACTTTAAAAAAAACATATTCTAAAAGCAGAAATAAAAAAAAAACAAACAAATCTAAAGCCAATATAGGCATACAGGTACAACATAGATGCAGCACAAGCGTATGACTACACTGTGAAGAGATCAGACTAATAAATACTATAAAGCTAATTAATAAGGGTGGCTGTGGTTTCAAAACTATTAGTAATGATTAACTTTAACAAGACAAAAATAGATTCCCCATGTTACAATCATTCTTTTCCATTAATAAAGGAATTTAAAATATTTTGAAGGTTTGTTTTTTTTTTTTTAAAAAACACAAGTGCATTTTTTTTTAGCCTATTTAAGTATATAATTTTTTTTCTCACCTGAATATTTAAAGATGATCTTTCACTTCAGGTTCTTGCACACTAATTACGCATATAAATGTTCACGTTGGCATAGTCAGAAGTGACTTTGCATCTAAACAATAATTTGTTGTGTAATCGCTTTTCTCTGAGAAGAGACTGACAGTCTCCAATAACTACCTTTTAAAAATCAGGTTAGTAATAATCCTTTAAAGTGTAAGAATGAGCTAACCTTCTCTTCCTTATCCATTTCCTAACAACATCTGCTACTCCAGATCACCAGTCAAGAACATGGAGGATTTTACAGAATAAACATGAATTTCTTAAGTCAAACAGGTTTGAAGTTTATTTAAACGCGATCACCATAGGAAATAAACTACTAAATTCCTCCCCCCACAGGTCATCCCCTCCTCTCACTTTCCCACTATTTTTCCTGAGAGAAAAGACGCATCACTGAACTTTTAATTAAATTTTCAACAGTCCCCTAGGGGAAAGTTTGACTGAGAAGTTTCCTAATCCACATTCTACAAGTTTTCAGACATTATTTATACAAACGTTTCTTTAATTCTTCTAGGTGCCTTGCATCAGCATCCTGCAGAATTAATACAGTGGCTTTAGACTGAAAAGGATTAAACTCTATAGTCATCAGACAACAGAGATCTATTAGGTGTCTTTGACATTTTTCTAAACCATCCTTAAGCTTCGCATGTGAAGTAGGATCTTTTTTCAATATATTCATTTCAGGCACTGAAAATCCAATCAAACTTGTCAGAATATCATCTGCAAAATCTACTTCTAGATAAGCTGAACCATCAGAAATTTTTGCCTTTATACCCCAGGACCCATTATTGCTTGTGAGCTTTCCAGTAAGAGTTACAATAAAACATTTGAGTTTCAGAATTGTAACAGTTTCTGGTTTTTTCGAAAGGAGAACAGAAATGTATGTGAAAGGTGGAGAATCTAAATCAAGATCATGCACCTGTACTGCTTTGCCACGAAAGGTTTGTATATCATGCTTCTGCTGATCTGCCTCTGCGTCAGCTTCTGAAAAACATACTGGCTCACTGTTCAGCAGCCTGCTGTGAGAAGTGTTCTGGGATTTATGTCTGCTCTCAGCAAGATCTTTATCATTGTAGCTTTCTTCAGGAGCATTATACAAAGAGAAATCTGCAGAACTGTTGGTCTGACGTGCACTATTGTGCTGTGAAGAGTTACTTGTACTATTTTCACCTCCAGTAGATACTCTTCTTCCAAAAGTCTTCTGCTTGCTGGTAGCGTCTACAAGTTTCTCTCTCTCATTCTTATCATTTGTTTCGTAAGGGCCATTCAAATATGAGTCCCATGAGCTTCTAGCCACACGTGGAAGTCTCTCAGTAACTAAACCTATGTTTCTGTTCCCGACCACTGGTGGCACTTCTTCCAGCTCTCTTTGGATCTCTTCTTCTAGAAGCAAGTCATCTTCCAAAGGAAAATCATTTAAAAAGCCATCCGCATATTCCACAGGACGTGAAATTTGTTCATCTGATTGAGGAAAAGGACTTCCAAGCTGTTGTTGTAAAACATTTCCATTGAGTGAACCTGAGGTTGTGGTAAAATTGTTGCTTCTACTGCAATACCCACTCTCTGAAGGTGTTTCATTGTTAAAAGTAAATTCACTGTTTTCCTCAAGACTGGCTAAAAGCTCTTCATCTGAAGGGCCTAGAGTTTGCACCAATTCGTCTACAGGCCTTGGAACAATTTGTTCGTGATCCGTTCGTCCAACAGGACTAGGATTCTCAGCCTCTCCAATTAATCTAGCAAGGACTCTTTCCTGACTATACTCCTCTAGAAGAGCATCCACTTCACCCCCCAACAATTTTACATTTTCTGGTTTAAGCAAAAGGACACCAAGACGATATGCTACATTACCCTGTACAGTGACTTTTGTTCCTGGAGGAAGATTACTATGCAGGACAGGGACAGGTTGATATTCCATGCCCTGAATTTGATGTACCCCATCAGTTAGCTGCAGCATCAGCATTCGAGTAGGCTTTGCTTCCCAGGGCTTTTGGAACACCTGAGTGTTGGCTGTTACTTCTTCATTTACAGTACTTTCTCCTCTTAGCTTCTGCAACTGGGAATAAGCTGGCTGGCTAACATCAACTAGAGAATCAATCTGTATTGAGTAGAAGCCAGACAATTCTCCTTTGGGGGCATCCAAAATGCAATCAGGCAAAATGGGATATTCCAAATCTCTTAGATCTGTAAGAAGCCATTGCTCAAACACCTGTCTGTTAATCTGAGCTTGACTTAAGTTACTGCCATTATTTTCTTCCTGGATCCAATTAATACATGCTTCCAGCCATGTCAAAGGAACTTTAACATGCCATGTGGATGAAAGCCAAGTTTCCGCTCTTGCTGCAATGTTAGATGAAGACATTTTCTTTCAAGTTAAAAAAAGTGAGTTCCCTAGAAGAAAACCCAAAAAGACACGTTTACTCTTCTGACACTTGCTAAAGTTACGACACGTCTTTCACTGGCATTATACAGAAATTTGCTCTCAATTCAGTTCAGTCATTCTAAATGTGACAAAGCAGAAGCAATTCCATAGAACTGGAATGCTAAAAATAAACATGCATTTCCAACATTTAAGCAAGTAAACTCCAATCAGCATAAACACCCTATGCAGTTTTCTCATCACGGAGTATCAGGAAAGTACTGACACTTCTACGAGCAGCCCCTCTTGACGGCTTCATCTTTTCTGTTGTTTTAATTGGAAGCATACAAGAAAAATCATTTTGCTGTGGTTGGAAAGAAATGAGACCAAAAAAAAAATTAACCTTCTCCTCTTGACAAGCAGTCGGTGCTGCTGTTAACAGTAACTCTACTTTAGCATTTGACCGTCTTAAGTATTTGTCCTAAATCATTAGCACTGCTATGAGCAGAAGTGGGAGGCCTCATTTACAATACAAATTGTGAGCGTTGGTACCACAGAGGCGACTTTTACACCATAACTAGATGAAGTCTTTGGGATCGAGAAGAGAATGGTAGCAGGAAATATCAGCTTTACCTGGAGAGCCAAGCCAGTGCGTCTTTGACTGCAGTACTACGAAACTCTGGCAGTTGTCACCTCAGGAACATCAGTGGTTAACAAACTCTAGCCTGCTATTAGCTTTGAAGTGCCCAAGCACATTTAAGGTGTGTAACTGTGCTTGGAACTTGTTTATCACTCTTAAGGTGAAGGGCCAAAAACTCTCAAGGAGCTCGATTTCTCCACAAAACCACGCTGAAAAAGATACTGTAAGAATACTTAAGAAACGCACGCCCGGCCTTCTGCCGTGAAAGCCTGCAGCTAAGGAAAAAAAAAATCTATAGCCTTCTTAAAGTTCTCTCAAATGCTCCTCCAGTTAAAAAAAGCGCAACTATACAATTTCTTCCAGCTGAAGAAACACATCTGTTTACTCATCGACAGGCCGAAGCCCGGGGGCCTCCCGTCAGGTAAGAGGCGGCC